CGCTGCTGTCCGCACATCCTTCCCCCGCAGGCCATGCCCAAGTACCCACCTGCCCAGAGAGGCAGAGGCCTGGCGCTGGGAACAGTGCCCAGTGACCGCCCCCTCGGGGACACTGAATGAGCAGTGAGTGCTGTGAGCCCGAGCGCGTGGGTTTTGGGAGGGCTCCTAGAAGCAGGCGATGGTTCGGCAGGCCCCGAGGCCTGGCTGTCGCAGAGGCCTGAAGGGAAGGGGACAGGGCCCAGGGACGGCCATGTCCAGGGACAGCTGTGCCAGCAGGGTGGGCTGCAGGGGCCGAATGAGAGAGGAGTCTGTACTTCTGTCCTGCAGGGGCTAGGGAGCCACAGAGGGCGGCAGGCAGTGGGAGAGACGGCCCGGTCAGCTCGTTACAAAGCCTGCTCCGTGGCAGCGTGGCAGGTGGACCGGGAGGGGACGGGCGGCACGGACGGTGCTGAGGGCACAACGTGAAGGTGGGCGGGGAAGGTGGGGTCTGGAGCTACCAGGACAATGGCTGTGCCGCGTGTGGGATCAGGGACTCCCGTCTCTGGCCCCATTGCTGGGCCGTGGCCAGTGCCGGAGCTGGACGGGAAATCTGGGCCCGTTCTCCGCCCTCAGGCTGCACAGACAGACAGTTCGGCTGTCAGCTCCCCTCTTACTGGCTGTGTGACCTCAGGCAAATTACTCAGTCTTCGTGAGCTTCGGGTTTCTCACCTGTAACTTGGAAATACCTACCTCTAGGGGCTGCAGTGAGAATTAAATGAGATGCTGGGTGTCAGGGGTTTGGCACCTCGCCCGGCCCCAAGCTTAGGTAAGCCTGGGTCCCTGGGCGTAAACCCCACCCGGCTCCAGGCCTTGCCGCCCTCCCACAGTGCGGAGAGGAAGTGGGGACTCGCTCCACTGGGGTGGCTGAGTGCCTCTGCTGACCTCGGGTGGGCTGAGAGAGGCACAGAGGGGGGTGAGGCTGCCGTGAGCATTTGGAGTTTGAAAGTGGGAAGAAACAGGCCTGGACCGGTGCCAGAAGTGGGTCGAAGTGGGAGCCTGAGCTGCCGTTCTGCCCAGGGTCCCCAGGGGCGAAGTGTGAGAACAAGGAAACTGTACCCACACGCGCCAGTCCCCACAGTGTCGGGACAGACCACAAGCTGTCCTGCTGAGAAGTGACTGACAGCAACGAGTGGGAAGCTCCTGAACCCCACAGCCTTCCGCGGGGGGCCGTGTCCGGTGGGCACGGTTCTCCGGCGTGTGGCGCAGGTGGCAGCTGCCCCCACGAGCCTGGCTGCTGGGCTCCGGACAGCGGAAGCACCGCCAGGCTCTGGGGCCACCTGAGCACTTCCTGACGCCCTGCGCAGGCCCGGCTGTCATGCTGGCGGTCACGCCTGGCCGACGGCCTAACCCATACGTGTCCAGAGCGCTCTCACTTATCCGCTCTTCACCTCCCACCGGATCCCAGCAGCGCGTCCTCCGCAAACCCCCCCGCGGGCCCGAAGGGCTCTCTCGCCCTCCCCGGAGTCGCGCCTGCACTCCGCACGGACCCCCCGGCACGGCGCGGCGCGCCACGGCGTTTCCACTGTTCAACTGCATTGCGTCCCGGTCTCCTGAGACTCACTATGAGGCTCCTGGAAACCAGAGTTAACTGGTTTTTATTTCATTAGCATGTAGCACAGGGCCTGGCACACACTGGGTACTCGGCAAATGCTGAACAGAATCCGGCTGAGAGGAACGAGGGGACGAGCGTCGGGCTGTCACGTGTGCTCGGTGTTCATTCACACTCGTCTTCCGAGGCCCGTCCACTCAGAGCAGGAGACCCGGCTGTGGGCCAAAGGGAGTGGGTTCCATGACAAGCGGGCTGTGTGCAGCTGTCACACGGGATGCCTCCCGACCTCGACAGCTGCGGGCTTCCTTTAATCAAAAAGGCTTCTGTCAACGAGGCCGTCCAGGGCCTCTGCAAGCCTGCCGGTCACTTCAGCCTGAAACGAGCCTGTCACCGTGCAGAGCAGGCCACTGCTTAGAATGGCGACTTCACTCTTTACGCAAGTCCACACTGCTGCATTGAACAGTTTTAAATTTTTCTCCACTTTGAGATATAAGTGATTCACGGGAAAACACAATTTTTGCTTTGAATGAAAGCTCTGACACACACACGCACGCGGCCAGGTGCCCTCACGAAGCACGCGCTCGGTTCCTGCGAGCTGCCTCAGCCCGTCTCGCTCGCCTCCACGCAGGTCCCTGAACCACGAGCGCAGCGGCAGCAGGCGGCGAGCCACGGGGGCAAGAGACCGAGGCACGGATGTGCGCGTGACAGAGACCAACACCGAGAGCTCCAACAGAACCGAAGCGGGGCCCCTCACAGCCCAGGCAGCGGCAGTGAGACGACTGGGCAGCTGCTTCTCACTGGGGCCCTTCGATACCCCAGCCGGCGGAGACGGCCGGCACCAGCTCTGGGCCGCTCCTGCTGTTTCTCGGGCCGGAGGACCTGAACGCGGCCCCCGAAACAAAACACAGGCCAAAGAGCACAAGGTGGCCTCAAAGCACCATCCGTGTAAGGCTCTATCTCCACACAGCTTCCTCCTCCTTCAAATTCCAGCAAGAACTCACACTTGCACCATGTTTGACTTTAGGAAACACATACGCAGCAGTCTTACTTAAGTGACCTGGTGAGACAGGTGGACAGAGCCACATGGGAGCCGCTTGTCCAGGCTCCACTTGATCCACTGAACTCACTGAGGGCGACCTGGCAACCACTTTCAAATACCTCTCAAGCTCCCGGTGGAGACGTCGAGACACCTCTGCATCTCTGTCACTAAACCCTGCCCCGGCGAGGTGACCGCTTCACTACGTCTTCCAGATGGAAAAGACAGAGGATTCAAAGCTGAAAGCCTCAGTGCCAGGCCAAAGTCTGGCCTTGCAGTCGTGGCCTGCTGCTCCTGGCCACGTGAGACAGCGGGTGAAACCGCTCTGTGAGGGAGCGGTGGGGTGTGGCCTTGTCCGTGAGGGGGACACTTCAGTAGACCGCAAACACCCTCTGTAACAAAGTGCTGAATCACAGGGAATCCTTTCACAGAGAAGGGATGAGAGCACGGGGAGAAAAACGGCCAGGTGGCGGTGCAGGGAGGGATGGCTGCCCCGAGGGCACGCGCACCGAGGCGACAGAGGGTGGCTCTGTGGACCCCCAGGACACGGGAGGGCTGGAGGAGCTGAAGGTTCCAGCTGGGTCAGCGCCCACAGCTACCTTGCACCAGCAAACGAAAACTCAACTCTCCCTTGAGGAAGCATCCCCTATTCGGGGCCTGGGAGTTCTTGCAGAGTAAGTTGAACAAAACATGACCCTGTAATAAAAAACCACTACACATAAAGTGAAATAATACATCAGTAGAAACAACAGATTTAGATCCTCTGGGTTTCAAAAAGCATAACTACGTGTAAAATACTTAAAGAAGGAAAAGATGAAAATAAGTGATAAAAGAACAGGAGGATATAAAAACTTAATAATATATTTGAAAAATAAGCTAAAGCTGAGAAATAAGAATTATAGTTGGAATTAAAAACTCAAACTTAAGTGGCAGGTTAGACACAATAAGAGAATCACTTAACTGGAAGATTATCCAAAAAAAAATTCTCACAACAGACTGAGAGACAAGGAAACGAGAAACATGAAAGAGAGCGCCAGGTATAAAGAAGAGACCCACAAGGTCAAACAGATGAATCGCAGAGGCCTGGAGAGAGACGACAGAACAGTAGAGAAGGACCACGGAGATACGATGGCCGAAAACGATCAGACAGGAAACTAACAATGGTCCCTATGCTAAGGACTCTAACGAAGAAAGGAGACAATGTACGAGAACAAATAAATAATGTGAAAAGAAAGGTGAAAGCTCTAAGAAATTATCGAAAAGAAATTCTAGAAATAAAAAGCACTGCAAGAGAAATGAAGAATGCTTTTGACGAGCCAATCAGGAGACTGGACAGAGCCAAGGAAAGAACAGTGAGCTTCAAGATATGTCAACAGAAACTTCTCAGACTGAAGCACAAAGAGAACAAGAATAAAAAACAAAACAAAAAAAACCCCAAACCAAAAACACCGCCACCACCATCAACAACAACGAAAAGAACAAAACCTCCAAGAACTGTGGGACAATTTCAGAAGATGCAACACGATAACTGGAAAACCAGAAGTAGGAGAACAGATGGAAGAAATGTTTAAAGTCGTAATGTTGAGAACTTTCCCAAATTAATGACAGATACCAAGCCGCAGATCCAGTAAGCTCAGAGAAAACCGAATAGAATAAATGCCCCCAAACCTACACCTAGGCGTAGCATATTCCAACTGCAGAAAACCAAAGATACAAAGAAAATCTTGAAAGGATCCAGGGGGTGGAGGGAGGGAAGAAATCCCTATACCTACAAAAAAAAGGGCAAAGAATTACCGAGGACATCTCATCGGAAACCACGAAGCATGAAAGCGTGGAGCCGAATACGTTTAAAGTGTTGAAAGGAAAAAAACCACCAACCTAGAGCTCGGTATCCAGAGAAATTCCCCTTCAAAAGTGAAGGAGAAATAAAGACTTCCTCAGACAAACAAAAACTTAGGGAACTCATCACCAGCAGACCTGCCCTGCAAGAAACGTTAAAAGATTTCCTTCAGGCAGAAATAAAATAACACAGGTCAAAGAGATCTACATAAAGAGAAAGCAATGGAGAATGAATAAATAAAAGTAAATAAAATCTCTTATTTTTCTTATTAATTGACCTAAAAGATAACTTTGTTTAATAATAATAGCCAAGTACTGAGTGATTAATATATAGATAAATGAAATTAATGACAGCATGTTGCAAGGGATAGGAGGGAGGGATTGAGAATAATCTGTTGAAAGGTACCTGCACTACATATGAAATATAGTGGTATTATTTGAAAGGGACTTAGATTAGTTAAAACATATATTCTAACACAATGGTTAACATTTAAGAACATAAGTATAATCAACATACTAAGAGAAAAGATGAAATGACATCAGAAAATGTTCAATTAAAAACAGAAAAGGCAGAAGAGAAGCCTCTGCTAACAAATAGGAAACAGATACAAACACAGTTGCTATTAATCCAGATACATCAAAAATCTCTTTAAATGTGAATAGTCTAAAAATGCCAATGGAATGACAGGATTATCAGAGTATACACAGGCGCACACGCACATGCACACGCACACGCACCCCTACGAGAAATCTACTGTGAGTACGAAGACCCCTGTAAGTTAAAAGCAAAGGCATGGAGATATACCGCACCAACACGAGTCAAATGCTGGAACGGCTATCTTAATCTTAGTCACATCAAACTTCAGAGTGAGGAAAACTGTCAGGGATAAAGAAGGGCATTACCTAACGACAAAGAGTCAGTTCTTCAAGAACAAAGAACAATCCCAGAAATGTAAGCACATAATGGAGCGTCAAACTACACCAGGCAGAAACGACGGAACTGCCCGAGAGGGAGAAGAGCCCGCGCTGTGGCTGGAGGGGTCGCCTCTCCACTGCCAGAAGTGGACAGGGCCAGCAGACAGGAAATCGGTGCGGAGGTGGCTGAACCCGACAGCACCATCGATCACTGGGCAGAATGACACCTACAGACCACTGCACCCATCGGCAGCAGATGATGCGCCCTTCTCAAGGTTGCGAGGGACAGCCGCCACGTCGTGGGCCATGACACCTGGCAGGTCGGAAGGGCCCTGGTGCCCTGGCTGCCCTCCACACTTGGCACGCCGCCCGTCGGAACACCGCACGAAACCACCTGGCCTCTCTGAGAAACCTGCTCTGACGTAACTGAAGACCAGTGTGGGCCATTCTAATTTAGGTCGTCGGTTCTCTAGAAGGTGCTTCTACCAGCTCCGACGTACTGTGAACTCACAATGCACTTAGGTGCAGACATATCCACAGTGTTCAACCAAGTCAAACTAACTCAAAGAATACACACTAATTTTGCAAGACCAAGTAAATAACAACACAAGCTTGTTTAGAAAAACAAATGTTTTTCTACCAGGTAAAAGGAAGTTATTTTGCCACATACATCCCATTTTTCCAAATAAAAATGGCATCCAGCCAATGTATTTTAAATGAGTCAGAAACAGTCTTGACACGAACAGCATAGTGACTGAGACATAGAGCTTAACAGCTCGTCCTCTGTATCTGCCTTCACACCCATGAACCTTCCACGGCTACCGACTGGATTAAAGTTTACAGGGCGTCAAACAAGAAGGTTTTAGACACAGACAATGAGCCCCCAATGTTTTCTCTTCTGTCCTTCTACAGACTAGCCATAACATCCTGAGAAAAGGCCAAAATTCAGGGTTTAGAAAATTCAGTTTTTAACTAGAATGTCCCAACATTTCATGACTTAACTCGAAGATCATTAAGAACCAATTTTTAAATAGCTTCTACCAGCAAGAAAACGTAGGAGAGCGCTCTACGCGCATGTCTCAGGGTGGCTCCAGGGCTGGGGAACCACAGGACCTCGTGGGGAGGGCACGCGCTCGCCTGGGGAAGAGGCTCGAGGCGGCCGGCCACCGAAACCGCTCGGCTCTGAACACAGCGAGTTCTCACTTCACGCTCTCGGTAACTTCTGTGACTTTAAGCGCAACAAGGTACAATGAAGCTGATTTTACCACGAGGTAACTGATATGAACAGGGGTTACCTCCTCCTGCCCATTATCAATACGAGTGAAACGATGCAAACGCGAACGATGTTATTCAGGGCCTGCTGCACGTATCTGAACACACTGTTTAAAATCACCATTAATAAAGGCATCGTTAAATGTGCACAGAGAGCAATATTCAAACTAATAAAATGTAAGCATAAATTTGGGTAGTTACCAAACACTTACAGTAACAGGACGTGACGATGATTATTCTAGTCCAAAGCAGTGAGTGTTGACCCCCTACCTCTGCCCTTCCCCAGCACACAGACGGGGCGAGCCCCACTCAGGGACCAGACCTGCCCCTACTCCAGGGCACTGACCCTCAGGGAAGAAAATGTGCACGCAGCCTGAGAAGGCCCCTCCAGGCCCAGTCCTCCGCCCGCCCCTCCCAGCTGAGAATCCCTGTTCTCAATGATCAAATTGGTAGACTTTGGGGGAAATTCTACTTCTGAATGATTAGAACTTTAAATCAGAATCACTGATAAAAAGGAAAAATCGGAATTTATGGTAAGAGCTAATTAAGGTAACTTTGGAATAGAGAGGTAAAGCTGTCTAAGGCTAAGCTCCCTGCAGAGCCTGACGCAGAGGAGGAAGACAGGAGCCAAGCTCTGCCTGGGCCCCGCCCCTTTCCCCAGCAGCTTTCAGCACTGGCTCCCGCAGGCCCCGCCGCATCGGTGCCCAGGCCCCTCCGCGGGGTGCTGCTCAGCGCCCGCCCGTGCAACTCCAGAAGCCCCGGTTCTGTGCGCACAGCGGGACTGCTTCAGAGCCTCAGCCCCGCTCGTCTTAGAGCGCTCCGGCTGCCCACGTTAGCAGCTGGGCCCCAGGAGCCGTGATGGCAAGTGGCCCTGAGGATAACCCGAGACACCAACATCATCTGAAAACCTCGTTCCATTCTAGTTAATTCTGCAGGAAGAGACCATGACTTTCACGATTGGTTTTACAGTCATAAAGGTTCAAAATTCCAAAAGCGTAAGAGACTATGACGAAAGGAAACGCCTGCAGCCCTGCCCAGCAAACGGACAGCTGTCCTGTAAGAGCTGCCGGTCTACAGTGTTGGTGTGCCATGCCCTTTCTGCCCCGACTTACCTTGCTGTGTGTGAAGGGGGGTGCTGTGTACAAGGTGGGGTGGATGAGAGGGCGCGGCAGGTGTGGGACGGCGTGCAAAGGCACGTGTCCGTGGATGTGGGGGTACAGATGCAAAGCGGGGTGCGTAGGCTTCTCTGGACTCATGAACTGATGGCCTGGAGGAAGGGCTCCAGCCGTCATCGCTGACACTGGCAGTCCAGAAGCTTCTTGCTTACAAACATGACATTCACAAGTGTCTGGAGCTTGTTCAACCTAAAAGAAAAAAAATTACTTGCTTATTTAGTGCAACAAAGACTGGTCTGAATTAAAGTCAGTCACCCCACATTTGCCAGGCCCCTCCTCGCGACATAAATGAGGAACCCTAGAGCCTGGGACTGAAGACACCCGAAGAGCCCTGCACCTCATCCCCAGCTGGCATGTGCTGGGGCAGCAGCCACAGCAGCCCGCATCCTGTGCCCGTCTGAGAAAGGACCAGGGGACCGGTAAAGATGGCAGAGTGCAGAGAGGGAGCTGGAAGCAAGGACAACGAGACCACCCTGCTGCACGCGTGCTTCTGCAGAGGCTTCAAATGCACCGGGGAGGGGCTCCCGGTCAGCTGGGACGAAGCAGCTGGGACTCCTCTCCCCAAAACAAGTGTGAACTGAACACAACTGTCAAAGGCAACGTCCTGAGGCTCCTGAACTCAGCTAAAAGGAAAAAACAAATTGGGAGGCGTTTATCCGTGGTCTGCTAGAACCCAAGGTAAGAACAGCAAAAGTCCGGCCTTCTTGCCTGGGGCTCTTTCTATTCCCAATGCCTCATGCTCCTTAAAAACTAAACTGAGAAAAAACATAATCAAAGAATAGCAGAATTAAAATGGTACCTTAAAATTTTGTATAACACGAAAAAAGAAAGTAAAGGAAGAATAGAGGAACAAAAAACGTGTGAGACACGTAGAAATAAACAGCCAAAGGCAGATGTAAACATCGCCAATCATTAAATGTAAATGAAGCATTCCAAACAAAAGGCAGAGATTGATGGACAGGATGAAAATGCAAGACCCAACTAAAACATTTGAAGACTTATTCTAGATTCAAAGACACAAAGAGACCAACCTTAAAAAAGATGAAAAAATATGTAACACGCACACAGTAACACTAAGACAGGCAGAATGGCTAGATTAATGTTAGCTAAAGTAGTGTTTAAGAAACATTAGCAGAGAAATAGTTCATTAGTGGCAAAAGGGTCAATACATCAGGGAGACAGAACAATAATTCATGGGTACACATTCGATGACATTGTCCCAAAATGCATGAATCAAAAACTAGCAGATTTGAAAGGGAAAGAAACAATCCAAGTTAACACTTAAAGACTTCAATATGTCTCTCCCAGTAATTCTTAGAACAAACTGACAGAAAATCATTATATATGAGTTCAATAATGCTATCAGTCACTTTGACCAAACTTCCATTTTTAAGACACTCTACCTAACAAGAGCAGATTATATAATAAAATATATAATAAAATAATAAAACCAAATTATTTTCAAGTGCACATGGAACATGATCTAGGATAGACCATATGTTAAGCCATAAAACAAATCTCAGTTAATTGGAAGCTCTAAAATCAGTTATCTTAAGCTTTACGTTCCACAAACTAGGACTAACCCCAAAGAATATAGCAAGAAATAATGAAGGTAAGAACCCTTAAATGTTGGCAGTCAAAAATTCTTGGCTGTGACATCAAAAGCATGATACAAGGGAAAGCGTGACCTTTTCAGCAAACGTTGCCAGGGCAAATGAATATCCACAGACTCAGAAAGATGAAGTTAGACCCTGACCTCACACCATAAAGAAATCTGAGTCCAATGAACCTAAAAACTAAGCAAGAGCTAGAACTATCAATCTTCTAGAAGAAAACAGCTTTGTATTAGGCAAAAACTCTTGGACGTGACGTCAAAAGCATGATTTATAAAAAAGAAAAAGATAAACTGGAATACATCGAAACGAAAACCTTGCTTTTCAAAACACCATAAAAAAATTAACAGACATGTCACAGACCAAGAGAAAGTATTCGTCAATCATAAAATTGATAGAGAACTTGTACCAATACGTAAAAAACTCTCGGAATTCAATAATAAGGTAGAAAATGAATGCCCTTAAATCTATGAAAGAATGCTCAATTTTGCCCATAAAAAATGAAATTAAAACAAACTCCAAGGAGTTACCGTTCCTTATCTATCGGCAAAACTCCAAAACTGTGACATCACCCTCTCCCGGGGGCAGGGGAGGCCATCGCCTCGGACCCGGTAAAGCCACTGCTGGTGGCCAATCCTAGGGACGTGTCTGCTTACGTATAAAACGTCAGACGGATGAGGTTGCTCCTGAATAGCTCACAATGGGGAAAAAGAGAAGCGAACACAGTGCCCATCGTCAGCAGGGGACTGAAAAGAAAAACAGAAACAAGCATGACGTGTGCACACAAGGGAACACCAAGAGGCTGGCGGAAGAGAAGGGCGTCGCCCTGCGGACAGGAAGTGGCTGGGGCGGCCGCTGGCATGAGCAGCACACAGTGGGCACCAGCACGCGCCTCGTGGTCAGGAGGGGGACAACAAACGTCTGTGTTTGCAGAAGAAAACACTGGAGGAACACAGCAAATGAGCATGACTGGACACCTACTGGGCGAGGGACGGGGCTGGGGCGGTGCCAGACGGCAGGCAGGGAAGCGGGGAAGCGGGGGGGAGCAAAACTCCGCAAAATACTCCCTTTAACGTCACCTTTCTCGTCCGAACCTCAGACTCTGCCACTTATTAAACGAATTCATCATCCAAACACCTCCACCTTCATCTGTTCTTACTTTCATTTGAAACTTGCTTGAGCACCTACTATAAAACTATGAGCGTCTAAGAAAAAGTCAGTCCGAAGGGACATCCTCACCTTCGGTTAACAGAAAACAGATGTCTACCGGGGGGGACGAGCTCTCATAAAACCAACGTTTGCGGAAGTGTTAACGTTCTACTACTTTATTTTATAACCCCCGCTCTTTGCTTCTTTACAAACAAAACAACTCTGTGCCATCTAAACACCGGGATGTCGCAAAACTGAGACTGCTGGTCACAGATTCAAGCACGAGAAACAAGATCTGAACGGGGCCGCGAGGTCTGGTTTCTTCTCTAAGGACGGCTCGATTCTCTCCAGCTCTAATCTCCGAAAGTTATTTAAACTGACACGACTCTGTACTTAACGATGCTGTGTTTAGAGAAAACACACAGAGGTGACGGTCCCTGGCAAACAAAGTCTGGAGACATGAAGCCACACCTGCTGGGTTGGGTGCGACGGGGGTGGACTGTCCACTTTACTCTCCTCGGCCCTGGGGCTCCCGCTTCCCAGAGCCCCATCTTCCTTCGGGGCTCCTGGCGGCTCCCCACTGCTCTCGCCGTCCGCCTCTTCGTCGTCGGCTTCTGAAGAGCTACTGCTGGTGCTGCTCACCTGCGGGGACTGTGGAAACAGCCCTCAGCAGGTCACACGCCTCAGGACAGAGGAAGGGAAAAGCCAGACCGCAGACCCCCGCCCAGCGCCGCCCCAAGGGGCCCGGCCGTACCTCGTCCTTCAGGGCCATGTTCTCCCCGCCGCCATTCAGGTCGCCGTGGATCCCGTTCATGTGGGCCACCACCTCGGCGTCCGCGTAGTTGCTCAGCGGGTAGATGTCAGCGAATTTAGCCGACAGGGGAGCGACATCCTCGTCGTCACTGCAACTGAACAAGCAGAGCCGGTCACGGCGAGGCCTGCGCACACTGCTCACCCCTTGGCAGCGTCGCCCGGGCACTCACTCAACAAAGGGCCTGGAAGACCGCTACATACAGGTCATCAGACCGATGTGACGTCTCCCTCCGGCGTGAAGTGCCCTGGTGTACAAGGGTTCCCTCGGCCACCTCCGAGCAGACACCGTTCATTTTCAATTAAAACGGAAGGTGTACAGAAAGCCACCTTAGGTGTGCGGTGTCTGTTCTCATAATCACCGGCTTCCCAGACACAGCTGAACAAAACTGTAGAGGCACCTATGTCACAAACACTGGAAGTGCTTTACTACCAGGCCAGCTCTGGTCAAATCAGTCATGATCTTAAATACCAACTTCGACAAGACATATAGGCAATGGGCAAGTGGAATATTGACGAAAAAATGTGAAATTTCAGGGCTGTAGCCTGCGGGGAACACTTTTTAAACGATTGATTTTCTGGTGCATAGAAAGAGCTGGCAGAATCTCCTTCAGCGACAGTGGCTCAAAGCATGACCATAAAAGGACGCTGGGCTCTACATGCACAGGCTCTGGGGGCGTGTGGAGCCTGGGCACATGGGACCTCCAGCAGGAAGAGTTCTGAGAACTGGTGATCTGCCGCCTTGAAGAGATGGTGCCCAGAGCTGCCCCACACAGGTGTCTTTCTTGTTCTTGGGAAAACAAGGGTCGACACGCACGATGCTCTATGACCTGGCGCTCACCCAGGGGCGCAGACGGCACCCGCCAGGCGAGGGCTCACAGTGCTCCCACTGTGGCGGAATGTGTCGCCTCGGTCAGCACGCATACCTGCTCCCGAGGCAGTCCCGTCAGCGTAACTCACAGACGAGGAAACCGAAGTTCAGAAATGAAACACGCAAACCATCTGCTCCTTTACCCTGGGACCGGGCAACTAAAGCGCGGATTCCACTTGGCCAACTTCGAGGTGACACCAAGAAAGCGACACCACTAACCAAGGCCACACTGGAGGTTTTCGTCACAGTGTCGACATCTGGAAGACGCCAGCCCCCAGAGGCCGGAGGCCCAGGTCTGGGAGCAGGGTGGGCACCCCAGGCCGGGAGGGAGGCCTCGCAGCCCCTTTCCTCCCCTCAGTACAGCGTATGGGCCCGCAACGGACGGCAGCAGCTCTGACACCCAGCAGGGAGGGACCGGCCCATCAGATGACACAGGTGTGGCTCAGTGTGGAGCTGGCTGACAGCAGCTGTGGGGGCCCCAGGCCCTCAGGCTCGGGAACTGGGCATGGGTCGCAAGGCCTCGAAGCACCGAGTCCAGTGAAAAGGGCCTGGCGCTCTGGCCCGTCCCCCTGCAATGTGTTTGTGAGCCCACACTGAGGTGTAAAGGCTGAGGGCAAGCCTGTGTCACCGTGAGCATGAGGGGGACACCCAAGGAGAGCTGAGCTGCCCCAGCTGGGGGCCCACTGGGACCCACAACGCCACAGGCACCATGACGCGGGCGCACACCTGGGTTTACTCAGGTGCAGTGGAAACATCCGTATGCAGCGCCCCCACCAGCTACGGTGCCGCGCCTCAGCGCAAGGCAGGCTCACAACCCTGAATAGATGTGGGACCACTCGCTCGTCTACAGTGTGAACGGGTGACAGCTGCACAGGCACCTTGTCTGGACAACGTGGGAGCATGACGACAGAGCCTCCCGGCTGCCCGTGCTCCAGAACAGATGCGGGGCGGTGGGGCACGGGGCGTGGGTGACACACACAAGGCAAGTGGCGGGAGGCCCTCTGCAGGTGGGGCCAGGCCCCATGTCCACCGCCTCCCCAAGAGCTGGCCCCGCCTGGAGCCCAATGATCCACCTTTTATTTCAAGTAATGACACAGTGTCAAAGTTTGGGTTTACTGATTTCATGGTTTAAAGATCGTTTAAAAAAAAAACAAAAAACAGCCCTTTTCCTTGGACAGCACTGGTGACAGACATACTTCTGCAGCCGGCACCTAAATATTTGAACTTGTACTACAAAGCCGCCACTTACAAAGTCGGTGCGGAGCCGCTCTCTGCGAGGATGAGTCTGGGGTGCTGCTGGACGGTGATGGGAGAGCTGGAGCCTGACCCTGAGCTTGCGGATGAGACACTAGGTGGGCGCATCTCAGAGAGACAGTCGGGAGCAGAACCCACTTGGAGTGGCAGCTGGTGAATGTGGGCGTCGCCGGTGACGGGGGGGTCCACGATACCACACGTGAGGATGTGTGAGAGGCTGCAGTCGTCGCAGGCACACCTGAATGGGGAGTAAGGACAGTTGCCGAGGCGGCCAGAGCGTGTGAGACCCGCGCTGCGGCCCGCTGTGCCCCCCGGCACGGGCTCACCGTCTCCGGTAGCTGCAGTTGGGACAGTCGGGCAGGCTCAGCCGGGACGACAGCACGTGCCTCATGGCGTCCGTGAAGCTGTTCTCACCAGTGACCACTTTCTTATTCGTTAACTAGGCAGGAAATGCAAAACAACAGGTTGATTTTGCAAGACACGGCTCCCATCACGTGGTGGGTATTTTTCAGTAATTATGATAACACGTGTCATGCTCATTTAGAAACCAATGGTCACAGCTTCCTAAAGTGGGCCAGGGCCAGGAACGAGGCAGCAGACCTGGAGTGCGCAGGAGACACGGGGTCGGGCCACACACAGGCCAGGGGCCAGGGCGCCAACAGGCTTCCTCACCAGCAATGCGCTGCCACACCCCTCACGGCGGATGCCTAACCTTGACCCCGAACCTGCCGTGTGCTCGGTTCTTGCTGGGCACCAGCGGCACAGAGATAGCCTCTGCCCCCAAGGAGCTGTGTCAAGAGGCATTCATGAGGCACGACAGGCCTGGGTGGTCAGCAGGCAGGTGGGAAGGAGCGTGGCCATGAGGAGGCTGGCCGGAGAGGGCAGCAGTGGCAGACGGGATGGGCAGGAGCTGCGATGAGGGAGGGCGCCTAAGCCCCTGACCGACGAGGAAGCATCTGATGTCAGAGAAGGAGCCTGCCGGCTGCTCTGCGAGGGGATGGGTGGACAGCAGCCGTGCGGAAGCGCTGGGGGCGGGCGAGGGGGCCGCAGTGCAGTGCCCTGTCTGCCTGCGGCGCCCGGAGACCATGGGAGTGAGGAGGCGGGCGCAGGCGTGGCGGCCAAGGCCAGGGCCCACGTCTGAGGCCGGCCTGAGGCCGAGGGGCTGAGAGAGATAGAGAAGGCAGCGCGGAGACGAGCCTGCTCGAGGGGAGGCCGGAGCCGTCGGCCACGCTGAAGGCGCAGCCCCGGCGCGGCGTTGGGGGGGGTGGTGTCTGAGGGGAGCCGGCCGGGTACCAGCCCTGTGACCGCACTGTGTCGCCCTCGAGCGTGAAGAGGGCACTGCCCGCCCAGGAGACTGCTGGGCGGCTGTGGGCTGGAGTGGGTCACGTGGAATGCACAGCCTTTCCTGAGGGACGCGCAGGGGAACGCGGGCTCCTCTGGGCTCGGAGCGTGGGTGCGGGGCCTGCGTGCGGCCACTCGCTCTGCAGTCGCCCGCTTCCATTCCCTCAAACTGCCCCTCCTACCACAGCCTCACCTGCTCCTCCAGGAAGCGCCGGTGTTTAAGAAGCTCCCAGTCGTCCGTCAGTGTGCGCTGTTTGGTTTTCACTGTCATCTAGCAAGAGGACATAAAAACACAAAATCTTAGCGCCAGCATGAACTACCCAGGACACTTCCGCGGGGAGACTGTTTGAACGACACACAAGAAACGTCACCTGCAAACAAGAGAAGGTTCACCTGACTTTCTATCTCAGCATCCTGCTCAATTTACTCAAATCATCGCAGAGATGAGTTCACGTTAAAAAGAGAAGCTGAGATGTCAGAGCTGAAACTGTCAACAGAGGAAATGGGTAGTTCCCACTTGCTGAATGCCCGTTATGTGCCCTGCATGCGCTGGAGATAAAAATGAAGATGACGCTGTGTGTGAGGGGCTCAGGTCCAGAGGAGCCGCAAGCAGGCAAAAAGACGGCGTGGACGGCCCCCCAGGATGTCACGCGGCGTGAAACAGGCCGACAGGAGGAGCAGAGCTTGCGCGGGGCACCTGCGTGAGGCCCTGGGGGAGCCGAGGCCAGAGGTGGGAGGCAGAGCGGAGGGCCGGAGGGCCGGCGAGCTGCTGTTTAATGGGCAGAGGGTCAGTCTGGCGGGACGGGGGTCCTGGAGACGGCGGTGGGATGGTCACAGCACTGCGCACGCACACGATGCCACTGAGCTGTGCACTTTTTCCTAAGCACACTGTACCCAGATACGGTTAAGACGGTAAACGTTATGACCTGTGCGTTTACCATGAGTAAAACAAAACAAGAAACTAAAAATGGGCCCCAGGCTCTGTCCTACTTGGGAGGGGAGGCTATGAAAAGGTTACATCTTGATGTTTACCTAAAAGTAGTCTTATACTTATCAAAAACTTAAAAGTAACCACCAAAAGGATAGAAATGGGAACCATATTTTATAAGATAGTAGGAGAAAATGGGAGGATGAATATATTCAATCCTAAAGGCAAGAATATATAACAAAAATCCTCTAAAAGAAGTCAAAAATAATTTCAAAGAATAAAACCCATACATTTGAGGAGAATTTTAAATAGTTTCAACTATTAGAGAAAAAATCAAAGTTGAAATTAGTCTGTTTAGAAATAATTCACAATAAAAGCCCCACGAATCAAATTTTATGAGATGTGCCCAACACGTGGGAAAAAAAGTATAGGTTTAAATGCATTAGAGAACAGAACAAAGTAGAACAAAAAAAGACTGAGACGTATGCACTTAATGTAAGAAGCCAAAAGAACAAAACAAGAAACCAATAAGGTGGGAAGGAACCGAAGGTAACACCGGCCAGTACAGGGAACACGAAGAAGCAAATGTGGTCACTGACCCCGCGACTTGGTTCCCCAGCCCTGTCCGCAGCTGAACAGGGACGAGAGGGCACCGCAGAAGCGGTGGGGTGGGAGGACCCGCGACACGGGCAAGTCTTCTGAGCCACCAGAGAAAACGCTTGTACAACTCACACTCCCCGCATCCAGACTGGGGCTGCCGCCAGGGGCTCCGGGCTACTCTGTGTGGCCTGCGTAATGTCTGAAAGCTGGGTCGCCCTGAAGAAGCTTTGAGGTTTTACCTAGCGGTGCCGGCTGCTGGCTTCTCTCGACATGTCAGCAGCTCCGTGGCACCCCTCCGAAACAGCGGGGCGATAGGCACACCGCCGCCTGCGCCCTGCGGCCCCCACGCCGAGGACAGGGCTCTTCTTTTGGAGGAGAAAGCGCTTTCTCCAAAGTGTGACAGAGAGAGGCCCTCACAGCCGCCATGCCGCCCCTGTTCACTGCCTCCCCTAAGCACAAGCGCGGGACCCTCCACCTGAATGACAAGGGCGAGTTCCTGGGCAAATATCAAATTGTGAAGCTCACACATGAAGCCGAGAACCCAACACAGAGCACCAAACGTAACGTGAACTGAACAGGGGACGGAGAGCGACCTTCCTCGTTCTTCCCCGCCACAGAAACGAACCAGGCCCCTCTACCGAGTCCTCGTGCAACAGAAAATCTAAGCTGTTCCTGCAAACTGAACCAACATGGCAAGTGTCTCAATTCATCCTCTGAGACTAGCAGTAACTTCACACAAAACAGACAAGACCTCAAAGACGAAAACTCCACAATGCCTCGGAATACAGATACAATAATCCGAAATAAAGCAGCAGGTAATCAAATCTAAAAATGGATTAAAAAATAATATAATCTAGTAGGGTTTACTCCCAGGAATGCAAGGATGTCTCAAAATTAGGAAATCTAATCTCGATTCTTTCAGAAATATATAAAATAAGAAAAAACATACAAATTCAATATCCTTTTTTTTTAAACAAAAATAACCTTACAAATAAGCTCAAAAAAGGAAACTTCTTTAATTTGCTAGAAAGTATCACGGTCTGCAGGCGGGCATCAAGGTGAACCGTGCAAACTCCCCCGAAGCCAGGAGCTGAGCGTGGATGCCGTGAGCAACGCTACCACCTGTGACGAACTTTGAAAACGCTGAAGTTGAGACGCTGGAGATGAGACCAAAACGGTCCTTATCTGCAGAAGACACCATGGTCTCCCAGCAGCTTAGGGCGAGCGGCTCGAGACCTACTGCAGCGCAGACGGAGCTTGGCGAGGCAGCTGGACGCGACGCGGCCCGGCTTTGCCACAGGCACCAGCACGGACGTTGGGGAGTCTATTCGCCATGAAGATGCCACTCACCCCAGACCCCAAACCACAGAATACCCAGGTGCAGGCTCGGAAAGACGTGTAGAAACTACGAAGCCGTCATCCAGGACACAAAAGACGACGACCAGAACAGCGTGCGATCGGCACACCCCGGGCTGGGAGGGGCCCCGCTGGCCTCCTACAAGGAGCTGGCAGCAGCGCATGTTTAGGGAATGAATTGAACAGAGGCGGCGGGCTGGGGTGCCATCTGGAAGCCCTGCTCCGTGTCACCTGCGAGGCTCCGGCTGATCAGCCATCCCTGCCCTTCAGGCCCCACCTAACCCTGGAGCCCTGCTTCCCTGTCCTCCACCACTCCGAACGTCACCTGCCCGACACAACCGTCTGTGTCTGCACTCCCTCTCTGGCAGATTAGGAACGGAGAGAGAGTGGGCGCTGAAGATCCC